CTGTCCATATTTTGATGTCATGATATGTAAATTAAAAATTGTTATTTTACGGTGATAATCTTGTTTTCTTGTGCCCAATAATGCATAATTTCATTTGATAAACACGTTTAGATTGAATGGTAATTTATAATCAGTCACAAGAACGTCGAATCTGAATCACTTAAAAAAACACGGGGGTGCTTAACTTTTTTCCAGGTGTATAATTTAAATGTTAACACAATTTTGTCAATGCTTACATTACAAGAAGAATGGACTACAGACAATATAATCTTGGCCTCCAAGATAAGAGGAATGCAAACAGTTTAAAACGTTACTTTATCTTAAGTTACATATTTAGAAGTGAACATGAGGTTTTGTATTGTGTTTTTCAACAATTTATTCACTAATCCAAATTATGTTAACTTATTTCTATCGCCTACCAAGAATTATTCCAAACTCAAACTTGAAAGTTATAACAAGAAAATGCACTATATAAAAAACAAAGATATACAGAATGGACAACCGTGTTTGGTACTATTTAGAAAACGAAGAGGCTATTGCTAGTTTTGACTGTTATGACAACAACTAAAACACTTATGGATTCTGATAATTCTTTCTTTCTTATTTATTTTTTGTCCTGGAGACTATTGGTCTGATCTGCCTTGGGGAAAAAACAGCAACAACAAAAACACGTAAATTATATGGTTGCCTGGAGCTGCCAAGCTTCCTGGTGGATATGGACTTCTTTCCAGCAGTTGCTAAATGATATAAGATCACCCACCACTAGTACTTTCCTCAACTGAAAAGTTCGGTATAGGAATGATATAGAGTACATAGTATTCGAGCCTGCCTCAGGAAAGGGGTTTAAATAGGTTCCAGGTTCTTTAATAGTAGTAATAAATGACTTTATAACACCAACATTTATTTTTCCTTCTCTAATTGGACACTAAACATTTCGTTTTTACAGTTTCTTCAGGAAAGTTGAACTAAAACACAAATCTTGTATTCATTAAATATTTCAATTTAGCATGAACATTATTTGACAAAGGACCGATCGAAATCGTTTCTGATAAATGAAGTTTGACTATGTGGATATCCTAAACAATGGTCAAAATAATTATTACCGGTCTAATTAAATGTATCTCATAATTAACTGTGTCGGCGCAGCATTAAAGAAATAATTGTTTTCACAGGTTTCATAGTTTTCTATTTTTAGTCAGGGTAAAGCTTCTGAGAAAAAACAACATCTTAATAATCAATTACATTGATTACATTTAAATAATTACCTAAATATAACGAAAGTACTTTGTCAGAAACGAAATATATTATAAAAGAATAATTGATTACGAAATCAAATAAATACATGATTAAAGACAAGTGTGTGTCACATAAGATATGTTAGCTTAATCAACAGGTTTGTTAAGTTCAATGTTTTGTGTTCGCCACTATGCGAGATACATCCTTGATTCGTGATAGCAGGTCTTGTGTATTATTCAAATGTGCTAGAACATAATTTAGTAACGACACTAAAATCTGAACTGCCAATTACAGTTATAGAACGGCCTTGTCAAACTTCTAAAGCCAGCTTTCAAAATCTCAGTTCACTTCCCTGTAATGTAATAAATCCAACTGTGACTACAGACGAAAATGGACATAGGATAATGCCTATAATTTCAATTACTTTAGTTTTTCAGTTTATGTTATTTAAATTTGTATTTTAGATTGAACTTTTGTTCATTACATATAGAAATTTATTTCATCAATATAATTCTTTGAACAACAAGCTTTACTACCTCACATGGCAAATGCAGAAACGTGCACTATAAAATTGATTACAAGTTACTACTTACCCTGATAGAAGTTTTGTACCGTCATTTACAAAACGCTCCTGAAGACCAATCGCGACGCGAGTCTTATCGATCGTTCCAGAACCCAAACATAGTAACAAAAAAAGTTTATTGTGGTAAACGAAATAATTGTTTGTTATGGATTTCGCGCAAAGCTACACGAGGGCTATCTGCGCTAGCCGTCCCTAATTTAGCAGTGTAAGACTAGAGGGAAGGCAGCTAGTCATCACCACCCACCGCCAATTCTTGGGCTACTCTTTTACCAACGAAGAGTGGGATTGACCTTCACTTTATAACGCCCCCACGGCTGAAAGGGCGAGCATGTTTGGTGGGACAAAGATTCAAACCCGTGACCCACAGATTGCGAGTCGAGCGCCCTAACCACCTGGCCATGCCGGGCCGAAACTAAATAATAATTTGATCTAAGTACGAGTTTTTTTTTCATCTTGATTTGTAAAAAAATCCTTACGTGATAGAAAAAAAAATAATAATATTATTTTCGAAATCTGCGTAGCTGAATCATGGGAAATCCGTTATTAAAACCAACTTTTATGAAGTTCAAGTTCCCAGGCCTGTCCAATTTATTGATTTTCCTTGTAGAAGGTAACAGTTACAAAACTGTTATACAGATTATGATAAATACACATTTCAATTTTCCCACCTTTCTCTGAACCAGTTTAAGAACTAATTATTTCAAAGTTAAAAAGTACTCTATAGTCTTGATATTTATTTTTACAGTTCAAATACTGTTATATAGACGAAATACTTGTATATGTGTGTGTTCGTGTATTTCTATATGTGTATCACATTACTGAAATACTACTTTTATTCAATCAGTGTGAAGTATTCTTTATACAAATATTAAAAACTAAAGATTTTGACATCTCAAGTACTAAATTCTTTCTACTAGAATCATTACAAGTTATATACCTTTTAACCAGTTTTACACAGTCTTTAAATAACTACAGGTGTGTATAGTAATAATTGTTTTAACTGCATTATCAAGTATTGCATCAGCAATTTTTTTTGTAAAACTATTATAATCATCAACCTTTGTGAAATATAGTTTTAAAAAAATGCTATGTACAAATTAGCTCAAACTGTTTGTACTGTTACATCTTTTAAATGCCTGAAATAATGTTCATTAATTTTTAAACTAACCCAATACATTTTATTACAAACAAGAAAACTGTGTATAATGATGTAGAAAAACTATGCAATAACGTACAAATAATTAACTGTAGTTTCATGTTTACTTGGATGACAAAAATGTTTGAATATTTATACAAGATGACATCAGAAAGATTTACACATTTAAAGTTACACAACAGTATATGAATTTATTATTTATAAATTTCGTACAAAATAGATATAATGCAGAGGAAAAAATCTACTAAAATCAAGACACTTCTTCAATAAGTTTCGTTTCTTTTGGCTGTTCCTTCCTGCTGTCAACTTTAAGTTCATGAAATGATGTGTAGGCCAAAGCTGACACTGATAAAACATGATAGAGCAAATAAAAATGAAGAAAAAATACTAATTTCGTTAAACTGCTGTTAAAATTTCTGTGCAAATAACATTTTTTTTTATATAATAAAGTTTAACATTTAATTCATAAGGAAATAATTTCTTATGTACACTGTATAATAAATCAGTAGCAATACATTTATAACTTAAAAGTATTAATAAACACTAAAAGCTACAAAGAAAGTTTAGAGTATGACAACTAATACTGATTTTTGGGTATGAAATACTTAAGGTACTTTTCTCATGTATCACAATGAAAGCTAGAGATAAAAACAAAATGATGGATATTTTTTTCTTGAGATACATTACATAAAGAAGAGAATGTATAATCTAATTAAAGAATGAACAACAAAAGAGTTACAATTCATAGAAAAAATATTTTAACCATTACTTATGGATAGCAAGATATCACACTTAAATTTATTCTGCCTAAATCAGCGCACAATATTTTCCAGCATTATTTTGTATTATACTTTATGTTAATGGTTACTGAATATAGAATGCTGTGTCCTGACTACTTTTACTATCGATGGTGTATAATGCTCTAATGTAAAAAGCATCTTTCCATATATAAATACATAATTTTAAGATCTAAAACATGTAAAAGTTGCAAGTATGTGTGTGAAATCATGCATGAAGAAAAACACACGCTTTGGTATCACTAAAATCTAAAAACAAAACTTAAATTTTGCAAGAAAAACACATTATGAAAGAAAAATATTACATATAATATTTTAACCAAGATAATGCTGACTACATTCAGCAATAGTTTCTTGTTGTTCATTTTTATGTTGAAGCACTGGAAAAAAAATTGGCATACTTTTTTATACAAAATTTTCCCAGCCTCTTAATTATAATGTGAATATCAAACATGAATAAACACATACATACACTATACAAATATAACTTAAAAGAAAACTTAACTATAAAATTACATTTATACAAATTGACAGAATTTATCAACAATTTAGATGGGAAACCAAAGTTATTCACTTAAAAAAGCCCCAACAGCACATTCTCCAACACAGTCATGGATTTCTGGTGTGTGCTGTGGTGGTTTTGCACATTATCTCTCTGGGTCTTGCAAGAGCCTTCTGAGTTTGCACCTGAACCTCACAGAAATTAACATTTCCTCTAATAGTTGCATTGGTGGCTCTCTGCATTTCAGCAGGTGGTCTTCATTGCAGTTATAAAATGCCAAGGTCTTCATTCTCCTAGCCACCTGTTCTTGGCAGTGGCATTTAACACTATCTACTAGAGCGAGAGCTGCTCTTTCTCCCTAGTCAGGGACCTTGTGGGGAGCTCTACCTTCTCTATTCTTGCTTCTGAAGCCATGACACAGACTGCAAATGATAATGTCAATGGTGACTCCCAGGTGTTGACTATAGAAGTTGTCATTGCAGCTGGTAGGAGAAGGAGCTGGATCTTTGGAGTGACCTACCTTCTTGATTGATTTCTTAACATGGCCAATTTGCAGGAAGGTCTTCCTGAAACAAGTTATAGTTTTTCTCCAAGTGCTCTGTTGTCCTGTCCTTGGATCTGGATTTCTTTGATTATGATTATACACTACAAGATGAACTGGCTGTATAGCTGACACACTGGAAGTCATGGACTTATCTGAACCCACAATCCAGACTCCCATGTTGGACTATTAATGGTGATTTAGTGGGTAGTCTTTTCTGATGCTCTGGAGTTTAAAAGGCTAACCTTACAATCATAGTCTGCATGTCAGGTGGAACATTAACCAATGCATCTTAATCCATGCACTCTAACAACATGAAATCAAGGCCAAACTGAAGTGTGCTGGAAGCTCCACAACATCTAAAACGTTAAAAAGAAGTGACCCACCATTATTTACTTCTATTGTTCATTAGTGATAGGGATAGTTTTTCTGCAACACAAAGAATACTGGTAACTCCAACTGGAAGGTTGAAAACAAAGACAGCTACATTGGTTCAAAATTGACTTAAATAGCAAAGTTAAGAAAGTGGGTTAAAATCATTTTGGTTACCAAATTAATTCATCCTAAAAGCCTCTTCAAGATCAAAGTGCAAAAACACCAAAAATAATGTTGGCAAGCTCGATGTTTGCAGGCTTATGTGTGTTCACTCTTATCTAGCCTGTAGAACATGATCCCTACTACCTACAGGCATTCTCAGAATTTGAACTTGACCTAAACCTTAACTGTAATATCCAAGATCATCATAACTGTGATGACTATCTGCAGCTATCCTGCAACCCCATCACATTCCCAACACTACTATCTGGTTATTATAGAAACAGGCCCTAAGTCCAGTAGGAAAGATATTGTGGGGCAAGACTGCTAAGTAGATAACCACACTAGTGATCAATTTAGATTGAATACCATTTGGATGCTGACCAATTCTTCTGACCATGATCATTAACACCTTCATCTCATTTCCTTTGCAACTTTCTTCAGCTACAAGTTCAGATCAGAGAACAGCTACATTCCACATGAGGATGTTACTTTCTGTTTCTAGTGTTATATGCAGTTTTCATTTTCATACATTATAACTAGCCTTGTACTGAAAAATATACTCAGAAAACTGTGCTTTCGAAATATTTCAGTCTGTGAGATCAAAAATATTTACATAATCAAATAAGCCATTGAGTACACCAAGTTTAAATTTATTTATTGATATTGTTTATGAATTTTACTTTCCACAGATACTTTCACCTCACACACATTATAATCAATCCAATTGAAATGCTATTGGTTGTCAATCGCACAGTCACCTATTTGTTACACTAATATCTTTTCCATACAATCCACTACTTGCTGAATGTTTCAATGTCAAAATTGACATCATTATCATTCCTATATTAACCCTTTATGAACGAGTACCCCTTTAAATCCCTTTCTATGCAAGTCACTGAGTTACATTCAAAATTTAATTACATTTTACTATCAAGTTATTTCAATGTAATGTATGTTATAATTTGAAGTTTTATGTTATCTAAATTTTAATTCCTTTGTATGAAAAAAAAAACCTTAAGAAAATACTTAAACCTAAGTTTTGTTGTCACGTAACTCACAAGCTATGAAAAATCTGAACTTTTACACACACTATCTTGAATCAGATAACCCCAGTCCTGTAGATATACATCTAGACAATAATTACATTTACTTGACCTACTGACACTTATATTTCAAAGATCTTTGGCTGAGTTCTGTTAAAACTAGAAATAAGTTTTGCCAACCCGACAGGTGCCGTGCTCACCTTCTATACTATGCCTTGAGCTTTACAAGTCACATGCAGTTACTTGACACACATTAGTCATTAGAAAGAGCTCACTTTACACTATAATCCAACAATAGTTATTTTGAAATTTGCACTCAGTTGAAATCATCAGGTAGATGTAACTGTCAGTATTGTTGTTGAGTGATTTGTCCATGAGTGTTTCTTACATAAATATGTTATAGTTAGAGAGACAGTTAAATTGCATCTAGGTTTTACTTTTATATTTTAGTTTATTATGTATTATTTATGTTTTAAAATGCATAACTGAAAGGTTTTAAAACTTTTTGAGTTTTCAAAGTTCTTGCACGAGTGTAAGATAATTTTGCTGAAGGCTTGCGCATCTCTCCCAAAAATACTGTAATATGCCCCAAGGGCATCACTGACTTATGTCAAGATGAATAATAAGCTGTAAGGGACATGAAAATGAAACAAAACATTAATAATTAAGTATATGTGAAGAGGAAAAGACCTGAAATTACAAATATCACCAAAAGAAGATCTTTCCAGATATTCTATGAAAAATTAAAACGTATGTATATTTTTCTGTTTCTTAATTTCAAATATTTCATAGTCCTGTATGTTGATGATAATATCTACAGTTTGTGATATAGTTGAGAAAATGAAAAATAAACATTTACATTAAAAAACTTTTGATATTCATTTAGGAGGTTCTAGAGGTTATGCAAATAATACTTGAAAACTATAAGGTGAGGAAAAGTATCCTTATACTTAAAATGAAAATCACCTTACACTCGAACTTTCAGAGTCTGTGCAAATAACTACAATAAATAGATAACATATTTTTAGTAGAGAGACTTAATTAAAATAATGTCATTCTTTGTGTACAAAATACTTATCATTTTTAATAAAATGTTACCTTTTTTGAGAATAGATTAAGAAATCTCAGGGTCACCGTATGTTTTGTTGCATACATATCATTCCCCAGTCAGGTTTCTGAAAATTGCAGGAGACCATTGCAAAAGGGTTAATAAAACCAATATGCATGCTCTTTCTTCAATTGATGCCTGGCAGGCCAGTAATCGCATTCAATTTCAGAACTTGAAGTCTTGTTACCCTGAATCAAATTCTATTCGCATTCAAAGGTTGTTATTTGGTTGTGTTTTCAGTGACCCATTCATTTCAGAAACACAAACATATACATACTTTTCTAAATTCCACACATCCCATATTCACTGTTAGCACCTTAACCTATATGAACTACTTGTTGGTGGTCACAGTCTAGTATGTGCAACTATTTGAAAGTGGTGAAACTCAACAGTGTTTTACAGGTTTTTTTTAAATAAATAATTCCTGGCAGTATTCAGATGAATTAAACTATTCAGCCTAAATTTATATATGTGTTTTATCACTACCTTGTACACCAACAGACTTTCAAATGAACTATGGCTAAATACAACTGTCCACAGTAAAAGGACATTTACTGTTCAGAGTGGTTGCCAACCATGGTCTGTCAGGACACAAGGCAATTCACTCATGTTAGTTGGCATTAGAGCAAAGCAAACATTGGTAACCTCAATGAAACAAGACCTATTTTATTGAAATTCAGTCACTAAGTTCATTTTCTGCACTTGTGAACTCCACATCTTCCTAACTGCACATGGAGGAGTCATACACTGTTAAGAGCACAGTACAGTATCTTCTTTATAGAACCTTATGGTCTGTTCAGGAGAACTGCTGCTACTA